AAGTGCCCGGGGTGGCGGGGTGACCGAGGTGGCCGGGACTGCAGGGTGGATCCTCCCCCAGGCGGGGCGGGATTTGCGCCCAGCGCTCCGGAGATGCCTGCAGAGCCCGAGATGGCACCTACTGGAGGTCCCCGGCCCAAGAGGGTAAGTCCCTTCCTCCCTCTCTTCCTGCCTCCCTTCCTCCTGGCCACTGGGCTCGGAGCAGCTGGAGTTCAAGTCCTGCCTAGGTCCCGAGCCTAGCCCTGAGGCCTGGATGTGTGCTCTAAGCCTCAGTTTCCACATAGCCGGTTGATTCGTCTTTCCGGGTGCTTCCTCGGCATGGCCCTGGACAGAGTACACCAAGCACCTGCACAATTATCCCCGCCTTACAGGTGAGGAAACTGAGTCTCAGAGAGCCAGGCTACAGTCCGTGGATGCCGGCCTCGTGCACAGCAGAGGTGGACCCTGAAGTCTGGGTTGGGGCGCAGGCACCCACAGCCCCAGCTCCGGAACTTGGTGCAGGCGGCAGCCAGGCCTGCTTGGTGGGGTGGGCATGCAGGTCCCTCTGTCTTCTGACCACCAGGGTCCGGGCTGTTGGTCCCTACTCAAGTCTGATTGCCGGCACCAGCTTTATTTCTCCAACAGTGGGTGTGTGGGGCGGAGAGAAGACTAAACCGAACCATCTCGGGCCTAACTTGTGGGGGCGGCAGCTTCAGGACTCCTCAGAGCCACCACCAGAGCCCTGTAATTCGGATGGGCCCGTTTGTTTATTAATATTAAAATGTTGAGAGAAGCCATCCCTTCACACTGAACTTGGTAATAGGAATTTAATATTTTTAAACATTTTACAACGTTTACAATATTTTATATGTTTTACTGTATATTCAATAATCTAATAATGTGCAATAAAGTCTTCAAATTTTTAGTTTTTATTCCTTAATAAGTATAATTAACTATGGAATATATTTACCACCTCCAGCAAATTCCTTTATATAATGACTAATTCAAAAGTAATGTGTGCTCTGTAAGTTTGTTTAAAATTGCAGTTTTTAAGAAAAATGTAGAGAAGCAACAAAAAGCCAAGCAACTTCCTAACTAGCATATACTAAGTTGAGTAGTTGTTTTTTTTCCAAGAATCAGAAGTCCAAGGGTTACATTTATTACTTTAATCTGCACTTAACTGAAGAAATGTATTACCATCCATGACAGCTTTGTAATAGGCTCTTATTTTCCTTTTCATTTTTTTTGACTCTTCAGAAATTTAAATACTTAAGTTTGTACATGATCCTGTGTTCTGCTATCCTTTTTGCTGTAAAATGTAAATATTTTAAGAAGTATTTTGATTCTAAAGATGATAAAAGAATTTCTCATCTGAAAAAAAAAAGATGCCCTACAATAGGGGACGCTAAAGAAATTAAGGTCTGTCACTTGATAAATTAGGCAGCTGATCAAACAAGTATGAGAACAAGCCAAGTGCTTCAGTCCTGTCCTCAGGAAGGAGACCCATGTCAGAGGGATGAAAAATGTGAAAGTGGTGGTGTACACACAGCAAGGGAGGCTGTCACAGAGGCACACGACACAAGGTGTGAAATGTGGATTTCAAAAACATGTCTGGGGCTATATTCTTCTGATTATAAAAGTGAAGGAAATGAAGTTAATAAAACGAAAAAGAAGCAAAGGACATTGCACAGATTTCTCTCAATTTCCTCTGATGCTGTATTCATTTTTATAGTTCTTTTTTTATTTTATTGAGGTTATTGGTACATTTTAAGTATACAGTACACTTACATTCATCATTGGGATCTTTTACCCTTACATGACATGTCTTGGTTCTCATTTTTTTCCCCATACCCCTGCCCTCTCTTCACCCCCTCCACCCTCCCCTATTTACAAAGATTTTGTTTCAATTTTTTCTTGTCCCTTATTTCCTTTTTTAAAAGATTTTTTTTCAACACCCTGTCCTTGGGCAGGTCCTTGGGAATCTCTGCTCTTGCATCACCACTATGCCTTGCTAAGAGGCACCTGGGGTTAAGGTGTTATTGGGGAGGAAATAATCACCCTCTCTCTTTATCTGACAGGTACATTTTAAGAATTCATTTAATTACCACAGAGAACTCCACAAACAGTTCTTTAATCCAAAAGCACAGTCCTGTAGCTATTCCAGGCAGTTGTCAGGGTATTTTAGACAGATTGACTCTTCAGGCCACCTCCTGCTACAAGGGGAACTTGTCCTCCTTTAAACATGAATAGATTGCCCTGAAGCCAGATCTCAAATCCAGAGCTCTTAAGTGTTGCTATCTAAAGAAAAAGGAGGCATAAATGCACTATCCAACCCACAACAGGCTCACCCCACATGAAGAAAAGGATGGAAACGAATCTCAGTGCTCTGCAAAACAATTTACAGTGTTCTTTATGTCACATGCTTCTGTCTTTAGCTTGTATTGGTGTACTAATTTACTGAGGTGGTAAGTATAGCAGGAAGGAGCAGTGAAAAGGTGCTTTGAATACAAATCCTAATGATTTAATCATTTATTATCAGCTGCAGTAAAATGGCATGGGGGGCGTTGAGACAGGGTCTCACTATGTAGTTGAGACTGACCTGGAACTCCCTATGTAGCCCAGGCTGGTCTTGAACTCACAGCGATCCTCCTGCCTCAGTCTCCCGAGTGCTGGGATTACAGGCGTGTGCTACCACACCCGGCATAAAATGGCAATTTTAAAGTGTTTGACAAACATGGACATCCATGTGGTAAATGAAATGTCTCACATTTATTCAGTGTCATGAAGTCATAATATGTACATCAATTTTCTTAAAACCCTAGCTAATTTTCTGTTTAGGTGTGACTTCTTTTTTTTTTTCTTCAGGACCAAAATTTTAGCATATGTGACTTATCTGACATTATCAAAACAGCCTTGTCTCTCTGCTAAGCTGTTGGTATAAGGGTCTTTTCTTGTGAGGTGCCTGAAGTTATGGTAGGGATAGAGACAAATAAGGTGTGTCCCCTTTCCCCTGTCTTTCCTACAGTGAAAGTGAGGAAGCAGGCAAGTAATCAGATGCTACAGGACAGGTAGATTCGGGGCCAGAATGGGTTGGAGACCATTCCAATAATCCAGTGGTGGGTGAATATGAGAAATTCATGAGAGACATTTGTGCAACCCTGTGACAGATTGGACATGGGAGATGGCAGGCTAACCTATAATCCAGAAGAATGTTTGTCCCTCTGGAATTGTTTGTGGACAATATTAATTTTGATTCTTAGTTAACACAAATGAGAGGTTTATGTTTCCCATCCAGCTGGAGGTCCAGAGAGGGGCCACCTGAAGCAACTCAGGAAAGTTTTTGAGAAGTTAGACTCCTGTTAGCTCCACCAGCCCTATGTGATGGGAAAACAACTCCTGACCTGGGAGGTGTCAGATATGCTGAACTTGTGTTCTCTCAACAGCACCAAGCAATGGAATTGTGAACCAAAGGAGAAAGTTAGTTAGAAGAGTTTTATTAGAAATAAGGAGAAGATGGGCTGGGGATTTAGTTCAGTGGTGCTACACCTGCCTTGCAAGCGTAAGGTCCTGAGTTTTATCCCTGATACCAGAAAGAAAAAAGAAAAGAAATACGGAGAAGAATAGCTCTTGGATTTGCAGGAGAGGTCCTGAGTTGGTGGCCACTGAGGCCTTTGTCAGTGGTAATTTGTGTAATAAAGTCACAACACAGATACAAAGTGGGTCAAAGCACAATTGACCTATAGGAGTCCAAGGATAGTTGCTTAGCTAATGTTGACCCAGTAGGAAATCTAGTTATGTAGGCAAGCATCATTCACATTAGCTTATCTATAACTTCTAACCTAGAAAGGACAAAGGAGCTCCTGGACAGGGAGAGGAGGATGGATCCGGATGTGCTAGTCACCCACCTATACTCTCTGTGCCCACCTATACTTTTTGGATGGGGGTACTAATCACACACAGTGTGATCTCAAGCTACTCTTTATCTCTAGGGGTGCTTGCATGTGACTTTCTCCAGGGCCCATCCCTCTCTGTTTATTAATATCCAGCTAATTTAACTGTCTATAATATTAGCATGTGGCTTCCAGTGGCCACAAGATTCCTGCTATATCCGCAAGCATTATACTGACTTCATTACTGAACAGTTTCTCTGATGTGAAAAACTGAAAGTGTAAGTAAGATCCAAATTGTATAACTGATCATGTGAAATAGAAAGAAAAGGGCTAACAGTGTAGGGGAGTGGGAAGGGTAGGGGAAAGGAAATAAGGAAAAGAAAAAATATGAGAAAAAGAAAAAATGAAGACAAAGTCTTTGTAAATAGGGGAGGGGGGAAGGAGTGAAGGGAGGGCAGGGACAAGGGGAAAAAAATGAGAACCAAGACCTGTCATGTAAAGGTACAAGAACCCAATGATGAATGTAACTGTACTGTATACCTAAAATGTACCAATACACTCAAAGAAAAAAAATAAATTTTAAAAAAGAAAGGAACAAAAAGAAAGAAGGAAAGGAGTAGGCACTGTCTCAGGAGAGCAGTACTTCTGCACAGATCCTCCGCCATCTTCCCCCTATGTCTCCTTGGCCAGTGGTGTGTCACAAAGGCCACTCCCAGCAGCAGGGAGCCTGGGAAATGCTTTTAAAGTGAGTATATCATCTTCCCACACAAACACACTAGCCAAAGAAGAGGGAGAAGACGTATTAGTTAGACAAATAGCAGTGTCCTCATAAACATATTGAAAAACCGAAATAATTTCCAGGACATCGGAACTTTCACTATAATTTGACCCAGAGTAAATGAAAAACAAACAGGCCCTTTGGGTGATTGCACAAATAGGTGCCTGGATTGACCAAGTAGGATAAAATGCTCACTCTCTGAAACACTTAGACACAGCTTTAGCAGAACTGTGTTTCCAAGAAAACAATGCCACATTTCATACAATTAGAAAATGAGTTTTTTAAAAAAATAAGGTATGAGGAGAGCTTGAGTGATTTTTCTTTCTCTTTTTCAGGGTATTTTGGAGCGTCTGGACCAAGGGGAGGTAGTGATTGGGGACGGCAGCTTTCTCATCACTCTGGAGAAGAGAGGCTATGTGAAGGCAGGGCTCTGGACTCCGGAAGCCGTAGTAGAACATCCAGATGCAGGTCAGTGGCCTCATCATCCTAGAGTGTTTGTCTGACACTATGCTTAAATCTAGATGGGAGAAAATTAAGAAGAAACAGTGAGCCCTTCTAAGGGAAGTTTATGTGCAAAATTGCCAAGATGTGGAGACAGGATGTGAGCTAGAACATATAAAATAAATTATCTGGGCCTGGGATTTAGCTCAGTGGTTCCACCACCTGCCTCACAAGTGCGAGGTCCCAAGTTCCATCCCCAGTACAAAAGAAAGAAGAGGAGAAAAGAAATTCTCTTCCCCTCCACACATATGCATTGCATCTTCTTATATAAGCAGTGCTAAAATATACATTTTAATACTTAAAGAGACTCAAGAGTTTCTTTCAAATAGTAAAAAGTGTCATTGCTCCTATTCATCTTGCCAACTGATGTGCATACTTGTAACAGCCTTTGTAGTAAGAATGATTAATGGCAGCCATCAACCTGAGAGCACTGACAGCCAGGTTCTGGGTTGAGAAGGCAAAGGAATAATTAGTTTCACATCATGCTTCTGGCTGGGAGCAGGGGGAGCATTGATGGAAGAAACTGACAAGATTGATTGGTAACATCAAATTGGAACCTTAACTCTATTCTTTTTGTGCATTTGTGCTCTTAAAGTGGGAAAATAAAGCCAAGAATATGGAGAAACCACATACAAGCTAACAATGTACCCTTGAATGGCACTGATTTGATGCATACATGTGTGTACCAGGCAAACCGAGGTCCTGTCTTAATTCTCCACTGACCAGCTGCATGACCTTACCCAAGTTCCTGGACCTTGCCAAGGACTCACTGTTCCGTGTGTCATGTGGCACAGGATGTGGCCACCTGTGAGGACCAAGGAGTGAGCTCACAGGCTGCCCAGGGTACCTGAAGTACAGCTGCCATTCACACTATTTCTCCAGACAGCCAGAGTTCTGCAAGTGGCAGGACCAAGGCCCAACTCTGGTACTTTGCAGGAAGTTTTCAAAAAGAAAGAGATGACTTTTGAGAGGCCCAAGATTATGTTTAGATGGCTTTTTTCCCCCCTGCCTGGTACTAGAGTTTGAACTTTACACTGAGCAACAACCCCAGCCCTCCACCCCCTTTAAAATTACTACAACGTCCAAGGCTAGAACTTGCCATTCTCCTGCCTCAGCCTCCCTCCATGCTTGCTTGCTGTGGATGGGCCTGCTGTGGGTGCCATACTCATGCTCTCCATGAGCTCCTCCTCTTTCCGCTGAGGACTACCAACACCCTTCACCGATCGGGTGTGCAGTAAACTTCTGCAGAGCAAGAGATCAGGGAGCAACGGGCCAACCAGGCCTTAATCTCTGCACAGTGACACAAGACCTTGGGCCTCAGGCAAATGGTGGGGCTCCTCCAGACAGCATATTCTGTCCTTGAATTCTTTGGACTTCACCTGTGACTATTTGTCAGTACTGGGATTGCAACTGGGTCTGATTAAAAGTGATGGGATGAGGGAGCTGCTGTGGCTGCTCAGAGTGATAGCGCCTGGCATTTTTATTTTATTATTATTATTTTTTAATTTCTATTTTCAAAACCCCAACCTTTTTGTAGTTCGTCAGCTTCACATGGAATTCTTGAGGGCGGGGTCAAATGTCATGCAGACGTTCACCTTTTCTGCCAGTGAGGACAGCATGGACAGCAAGGTGAGCTGTACCTGGGCTGGGAGGAGAGGGCAGCCCGGGACACACCTGATGTGCTACTGCACTATCATATAAAATCCACGCACAGTGTGGCTAACTCATAACACAACATAAAGGAGCTTTGCCTACTCTTCAGGTAGAGGAGAGGACGGGACCAGGCACAACCAGCCATCAGAAGGGCAGGGCTGTCCTGGGCTGCTTTCGGAGAAAGAACACTTTGTAGATGCTCCTTTTGCCTTTTCATTTCACACCATCTCTTTCTGCCTTGCCTGTCTGAAGACAGACAGGACACAGCTCTGGCCTAGGAATGAGAAAATTTAGGTTTGATACCCAACTCTGCTACCTGTTGTCTGGGTGACTGCATAGGACAGTTCCATGCATTATGCAGTGAACTCTCGCTGCAGATCGCACATGACAGCAGCCCTGTGTTCATAGACCCATGGAGAAGAATGGATGAGGTAAACCATGCGGAAGTACCTAAAATATCCTGCAAAGTGCAGAGTGTTAATTGTTGAAAATGTTAATGTTCATTTGTTTGTTTAATGAACAAACATCTAATGGGTACCAGTAAATGTTATATTTATAGTTACCATCTGTGGTCCATTCTCTATGCTCAGTACAAGGCATAGACCCTGTTCCAAAGAGGGCTATGCTCAAGCATGGAGGCAAACAGTTATTCAGACCTGGCATGGTAAGTACACTATAATGGAAATATAATGCCACACCTATATTGTAGGTTTTATCCAATTAATCTGGCCTTCTTATATTGCAGTTTACATGAGTAACTTTGCCCCCTTTGTTATCTATTATATTTCAAGTTAAGAATGTCAGGCTTACTGTCTCAACTTGTGCTTTCTCAAATCAGTGGGAAGAGGTAAATTCTGCTGCTTGTGACCTTGCCAAAGAAGTGGCTGGCAAAGGTGATGCTTTGGTAGCAGGGGGAATCTGCCAGTCATCGATGTACAAATACCACAAGGATGAAGCTAGAATTAAAAAACTTTTCCGACTACAGCTGGAGGTTTTTGCCAGGAAAAACGTGGACTTCCTGATTGCAGAGGTAAATGCCGAAGACCCCTGTAGTCAGGTTCCAGTCCCTACCTGCCCAGTGTGTGATGCAGGCCTGAGAAAAAAAATACACTAAGAGGCAGAACTAGGAGAGAAAGTGGGGTGCCAGGACGACCAATCCCGGTGCAACTGACAAAGACCCTGGAATTGACTTTTATTGACAATCAAATGGGGTAAAGGTGATGTGTGGTTTTTGTGGAAATTAATGTAAACGAGGCTCCTAAATACAAGACAAAACATTCTCAAATTAGGAACAGAATAGACAAAATATATGATTATAATTAGAACGCTGTCCTTCTAGTCTGGAGGTTTTAGTCCTGGGAATGGAATTTGGATGCGAGTTACTCTGAACTCTGCACATAGGCTTCAGCCAGACTCACTTCTACAAACAAGCCACTTGTAGGCCTAACTCTTTACAGCCTTCTTTGGCCATAGTCAATATTACCATCCTCTGCAGGTAAGCCCAATATTGGAGGAACAGGATACAGCCTATTTTGACGAGTCTGACTGCACAGCCTTCAACTTTTATTAGATTATTGGCTGGACTCATGTGCTTGTATCCTGCTCATGTGCATGGTCAGAGGCACACGTCGGTGTATCGCAGGCCAGCCAACACTCTCCTACTTGTAGCCTGGGTTCTCTGTCAGGCCAAAGGACAGACTCAGGAAGGCCTGACGTAGCCTTGATTCTCTAAGGTCTGGGTGGTTGTAGTGGCTGACTCCAGGGCCCTAACAAGAGGAAGTGGACAGGAGCTCAAGCAGCATCTTCCCCTGAGGGTGAGGCCACTCTAGAAGGTGCTGGAGAGATGGGCTGGACCCAGTGAGGAAGGTGTGGGCAGTACTTGACTGCTTTAAAACTCCTTGAATTTGGTACTCAACATATTTTGATATGAAAATTTTGTTCCAGATTCACCTTGTAAGCTCAAACTTGTGGGTGTCGATTGCCTTGTGTCTCACCACCTTTCCTGCCAAAATGGCTTGTTTGGTACTTGGTCGCTTTCAGTACTTTTGTTGCACCTCCCAGAACTAAGTAATGGTGAGCACCAAGGTACCACTGTATTTGGCTGTTCTGGCTCATCCAGGTCCCACCAGTAAGACTAGATGCTGGGTAGTATCCTTCTCTTCCTCAGTTCATACCTCTGCTTTTCCTCTAGCTGGAACACGTGACTGATATTTGAGGAAAGGATTGGTAAATATTGATCATTGATTGCCCAGGAAGGCTTAGAATATTCTCTTCCCTCTACCTCCAAAGCCAAAGCTCTCACTCCTCATTTGCCAACGCAGCCACTGCTGCCTGGCTCAACCCCTTGCTCCCATCTTCACCCTGAACCAGAAGAGAGTGGCCTGGCTGGTATTTCCCCTCTTATCCCCACTCACTCCAGGGCAGACCCAGCCTCATCAGCCTCCCCAAGGCCCAGGGCCACTGGCCCAGCTGACCCACTGGAGGTGTGGTTCACAGAGACCACCCAGTCTGCTACTCCCCATTTTCTCCAGATTGGGGGACACAGCTTCGCTGATTGAGGAACCTCTTTTGTGATTCTCCCTGTCATTCCTCACCCACTGCTTCTGCCAAATTTGTTTCTAAATTAAGAAGGAAGAAACAGATTGCTGCCAGCTTTTCTCCACTTTCCTCGAAGTCAACTTCTGGACTGGGATACTACAGAAAGTTCCTCAGAACACTCTGTAGCCCATATGAGCTCATTAGGCCACTGCTGGCGAGGCCCACTCCACTGTGCACTCAGTCTTCTCCTTCTCACCTTACGGAGCACTTAGGAATAGCTAGCTAGAAGCGAATGTATGTGAAAGTGCTTTCAAACATAACGCGTGACCACCTACTCATTGGTTTTTCTGATTACCATAGTTACATAAAACAGGAACCCAAGGTTTATAAACTACATTTTCAGTCCTTCAAAATTATGATTTCAAATACACAAATATTTTAAAAATCTATGTGATTTTTACTAATAGTCATCATTTCACTAAATGATGATCCCCGAATGAAAATCTGTATATATTTGCAGAAGGAATTAAAGTTTTACTCAGGAAGTATCTTTTCATCAGAGTGCTAGAAACACATTCCTTAGCAGGTTTCATCACCTGTACAGAGTCGTTTTTATGATTGCTTTGCAACATGTGTGCTCTACCATTCTACTTTATACTGGGACCGGTAGAAAAAATAACATCTCTCAGTATTTTGAGCATGTGGAAGAAGCTGTGTGGGCTGTGGAAGTCTTAAAAGAACTGGGCAAGCCGGTGGCAGTGACCATGTGCATCGGCCCTGAGGGAGACATGCATGGGGTGACACCTGGAGGGTGTGCTGTGCAGCTGGCGAAGGCAGGTAGGTAACTTGCATGCCATAGGGGCCTCTCAGTGACTGTTTATTAACCGTAGTGATGTTTGCTTAATACTGTGAGATCAGTAAGAAAATAGAAAGTTAAAGAATTAACTGGAATCAGTTGCTTTATCTATAAATCTTGGGGTAGCTAATGTCTCACATAGCTTCTAACTTTTACAAAGAGAATAAACAGAGAGACGATGAAATGTAAAAGGTCTGTCTTCCTGCGCAGGGGCTGACATCATTGGTGTGAACTGCAGATTTGGGCCCAGAACCAGTTTGCAGACGCTGTGCTTCATGAAGCAGGGCCTGGGGGCTGTCGGGCTGAGCCCCCACCTGATGGTGCAGCCCCTGGGCTTCCACACGCCTGACTGTGGCAAAGGGGGCTTCGTGGACCTCCCGGAATATCCCTTTGGTGAGCTCCAGCACAGACAGAGGGCTCTGTGCTTCTCATTGTGACAAAATGCAAATGGCTATAATAAATTATGGTAGTTTTATAACACAACACTGCATAAGACAAAAGCATTTAGTGTTAACCAAACATGAGTTATCTGGATGCATAACTAAAGTTGATAGTTCTTTAATTGGAAAGAATGCATTTAAAGATGGGGACAGTAATAGAAATGCCGTAACTATTATATCACAGGACTGGAGCCCAGAGTCGCAACCAGATGGGATATTCAGAAATACGCCAGAGAGGCCTACAACCTGGGGGTCCGATACATTGGTGGGTGCTGTGGGTTTGAGCCCTACCACATCAGGGCGATTGCGGAGGAGCTGGCCCCAGAAAGGGGATTTTTGCCACCCGCTTCTGAAAAGCACGGGAGCTGGGGAAGTGCTCTCAATATGCATACCAAACCCTGGATTAGAGCAAGGTAGGAATTTTTAAACCAACATTTTTATTACTTTTATTTAAATCTCATTACCATGTGTATGGTAATGAAAATTCATAAAGTATGGAAGTGGATAAAATGAAAATATGTCACCCCCTCCTGACACCAATCCCTTTCCCATTTTATTTTCATTTTATTTAGTTTCTTTAGGCTGCTACCACAAAATGCCACAAACTGGGTGCCTTATAAAAAACAGAAATTTATTTCTCACACTTCTGAAGGCTAGAAGTCCAAGACAAGGTGCTGGGGGATGCGGTATTTGGGCCATTTTCTCATAATAGTGACTTCTTGCTGGGTTCTCTTACAGTGGAAGGAGCAAGGCAAGCTCTCCGGAGTCCCTTCCATGAAGGGAATTAATTCTGTTCATAAGGGCTCTACCTTGTGATTTAATGACCTCCCAAAGACTCCACCTCCTCATATAACCACATTGGTTTCAAAATATGAACTGGGGTCAGGGTGGGGGACACACAGACATTCAGATTGCAACACAAATGTAGCCTATTGGAAGCCTTGTACCTCTACACCTTGTCTTCAATTTTAAGTATTAATTGCTGATAATCCTTTATAAAAGCCAAGGAATTTAAAATCACATGCTCTTCCCTCTCTCCTCTTTTTCTCCTTTTCCCAAATGTAATTCGTTAAATGTTTATTTCTTCTCTTTGTTATCTTTTTAAGTTAAAACATATATATTTAGGTCTTCCAAACTTCATTTATAGCTCAATTCTAAAAACATAAAGCTCAAGGAATAACATTTGCAATGTTATTATAATTTTCCTACTAAATAGCAGCACTCACGAAATAGAAGTCTGAAGTGAAATTTAGGTTTGTCTCCCTCTCTCCCTTTAAATCTGCTCCATGGATGAGTTTCTTCTCTTGTACCTGTCTGAAAACACTGGCTTTCCGGGGACTTCCCCAAGTATTCTGAGGCAACAGAAAGCCCTATAATCATTTCACTCAGCAGACACAGCCTCGATTCCATGTAAAATCAGAGCTCAGAATGGGTTTTCAAACTTTGCCCTTCTTTTGTTCTGCAGAAGCGCACACCCCCACCCAGCCCCGCCCCAGGCAGGAAGCCAGAAAGGGCCAGGCAGATCTCCAGGACAGGGGATACAGAGCCTTCCAGGGAAAACGTGGGCCTATTTTCTCTTACCACATGCCTTGTTCTGTGAATGCTACTTCCTCTCCAGACTCTGGCATTTCCAGAAGGCCACTCCAAATATGCCTTATTTTGGGGTTCAGGTGTCCTTCCTGCTGATTCTCTTGGGCCACATTTTATTTATTCTTTTATTTTACTAGAGAGGGATTGAACCCAGGGCCTTCACACTGAGCTATGTCCCCCAGTCCTTTTTTAATTATTATTTTGAGACAGAGTCTCGCTAAGTTACCCGGGCTGAGCTTGAACATGATTGCAGTCCTACCTCCACCTCCCAGGGTGCTGGGTCAAGCTGTGCCCTGCCACACCCAGCGGCAGGCCTGATTTTGGCGAGGTCCAGACTGGTCTCTCCCCCTTGGCAGGCATCTGTCCTTCCTTCAAGTTTACTGAGAGTGTGGTCTGATCCCAATCGGACAGCATCCTCTTTGGTAGTAAGCAAAGTAGGAGGGCCACTGTTCTCTTGCCTACATGTTAGGTCCGTCTCTGGTTCTCAGATACCTATCTTGAAACTTGTCAATTTTACAGCTCCCTTTGACACCTATTATCTAACATAGCTTGGTACTTCCTATAGCACTTCCTGTCTAATACCTGTTTCTTGAGTGATTTTCTAAATATCCACTGCAGAACAAAGGAGTGTGCCTAAAACAACGGAAGAAGAAAAATAATCCTGTTTTACAAAACTTACACCACGTTCAGGAAGATGTTCCAAGCATTCAGGTCAAATGAATTCTCTTCTCTTATACTTCATCTGATGTACGAATCTGTGCTGTATTTCAATTTGCTGCATACTGGGACTGACTTGGGACTTGTAAAACATTTGGTTTCCTAGGAATTTCTAATTAACTGCCTTTTTCATTGTTGAAAGAAAAATTATAGGCCTTCACCTTTCCAAAGCTCTTCCATTTCCTAAATTATACTTTTTGTTATAGTCGATCATTTTATCATCAAAGAAGTGGTTCTTGAAGCCCCCTGAATTACTGTTTTATCATGGCTCACTGTGTATCTGATGCATATTCTCTCTATCTATATCTTTCTATATCTCTATCTATCTATCTATCTATCTATAAATATATATATAAAATCTGTCAATACAGTGCCATCTCTTGTCCATTTTCAAGAGATCAGATACAAACTCTGCTATCTCCTATTTGCTGCTATTTTAACTTTTTTATTCATTTCAATGAGACGTGAAACCATCTTCATTTTTGAACTGGAATGACTCTCCTAACATAAATTGGTTTAGTTTTTAAAAGTAGGCAAGAAATCACTCAGCCAAACCTTTCTTCTGGAAGATATGAAATGTTTTTTCTTTAAATCATACATTTTTTTTTTGTACTGGGGATCAAACTCAGGACCTTGGGCTTGCGGGGCAGGCGGTGAAACCACTGAGCTAAATCCCTGGCCCTTTAAATCATATTTTTAAATGTAAACAAAATTAGAAGATGAGGAAAGCATACTTTGACAATGAGTAAAATAGCTGAATCAAGTGAAAATTGGCTTATTCCAATTATCATCTCCCAGGAATCTTTCAAATTAAAACATTATTCTGGGCATGGTAGTTCACACCTGTAATCCCAGCACTCTGAGGCATGAGGATCAAAAATTCAAGTCCAGCCTGGGCAATTTAGTTACTTTGCAAGTTTCTTAAAATAAAATATAAAAGGGAGGGGCCAGAAGATGTAGTTCAGTGTGAAGGCCTTTGGTCAACCCCTAGAACTGCAAAGAAGAAAAACAAGCAAAAACACATTCTCTGTAGAATAAAACATGACATCCTGAACTCCCAATCCTTCCACTGTTTGCAGAAATTTATGATTTCATAGAAACCGTATAAACTGCAGTTTTCTGACATTTTATCATCCAAAGATATCGATCTCTTCATTGTTTCATAAGTCTATAAAAACATCACACTCCTTTCAAAAAAACAAAAAATAAAAACAAAAAACAAATGCTAACAGAGGAATTTGTATGTTGAAGAATTATACTTTGTCCCATTACATTAAAAACTTAATTTACTTCTCATTGTGTTAAAATACTGACTATATTTAGGACTCTGCTAGAAATTTCAGAATGAATGTATTTCCTAAAAATATGTAACACTAAAATCACTGTCTTTTGGAAAGGGGATGTGAAATCGAATGATTGTTAAGATACAAATGTGAGTGAGGCATTAGTGAATATGTCAGTAGTATCTGCAGGTTTTCCACTTAGCCTTGTCACCCACCAAATACAGATGTGCGAGAATATACACATACATTTACACATGCAACACACACATACATATAGACCTCAAACTGTATGTGTATGCACATGGATATATGTATATTTACATTTATGACTCAACTCGTATGTAGGGATCTTTTAGTTAATTACTGATATTTTTTAAACACAGGGCTAGAAGGGAATATTGGGAGAATCTGCTGCCAGCTTCAGGCAGACCTTTCTGTCCTTCACTATCAAAGCCAGATGTCTAAGGAGCAGCAAAAGAAAATACTGAAATAACAGAACTTCACGGTGCCAAAGCCCTGTGTGGAACTGGTCTCACCATCTTCAGCCTGCCCATCATCCTAGCCCTGAGTGGCCAGGGGATGCACCCTTGGCTCCTGTTCGGCTTGTGTCCAGTAGACAGCAGCACAGGACATAGCAGGAGAGGCAGAGGACTGAGCCCCTTGTCCCCGAGTACTCATGGTCACCAGTACTTTGCTGTGTTCTTCTGAAGATCATCAAGAACAGCCAGGCTTGACATTTTAAAATAACCAGAAGCCCCAGAGGGCTGGGAATTTATCTCAGTGGTGCTGCCGCCTGCGTCATAAGCACAAGAACCGGAGTTTGGTCCCATACCAAAAATAAAATAAAATAAAATAAGAAGCCCAGAAAGCAAGCATGGCAATAACTCAAGTGCCTGAGCTAGGTGCTTGGGAAGAGAGGCAACACTCAAAGGAAAGCAGCCACTGCCTTCTTCACTGATTTGTGTAAGGGCTTCAAGGCAGCCCTGAAAGAAAGGGTATAAAAAACTTTTTGAACAACCACAGCATTATTGACATCAGGGTATAACCTTCCAGAGTGAGTACTTTCACAGATGATTTTTACTTTAAGGTACTGTTAGTTCCTTATCTTTAAATTGTGTCTTGATAATCACAAATAACTAGATTTTAAATCATCTAAGTACAAGGACCCTGTCCTGTGCTTCTTCTGTTTCTCCTTATTTGGCATTATGTTAGACATAATCACAGACACTCAGTGAAACACATATGTTGATTATGTAAAATAAATAAAAATAGATAAAGTTTTAGAAGATCTTTTGAAAAAGTCAAGAGTTCAAATCCATTTGGTCTGATATTTTCTTGCCTTGGGTTTGTGTTAATTACCATGAACCCATTTCTCTTTTGTTAACAACAATGGGTCAGCTTGTGATAATAAAATTTAAAATAATTTACCTTTTGTAGTGCTTGAATATTTAAACTTTGTGGATGTTCCTAGGAATAATCCTAATAAGGATTTGTTACTTATTGTCACAGGCCTTGTCCCGTGGGTGAGACGGTGAGATACCGTGGACAGGGGGAGGTCTAGTGAGGCTCACCAGCTCTCCCAGGTCACACTGTGGCTACGTGTGGGATAGGGCCTTGAGTCCACATGGTCTGGTTCAGGAATCTGTGTTCTCGATCATTACGCTTCTCCACCTTTGTTATGCAGACAGCTGTTGATTTTATCAGAGTCGATCCAAATATTTTTGTTGCAGAGTTTAAAGTTTGTATTTTATTTTTAAGTGACATACAATAATTATACAAAGTTGTATAATTATACAACTGTTCTTAGACAACTGTATACATTATACACTGTATAACAGGGTAATTAGCATTTCCATCTCCTTATACACTTATTGTTTTGTGCTTGGAAGCTTCAAATTTGTCTTTTCTAGCTATGCATAAGCTGCATAATAAATTAGCTGGACGTGATGGCACAAACCTGAAATCCTAGCAACACAGGAGGCTGAGGTAGGAGGATTGCCACAAGTTCAAGGCCAGCCTGGGCTACATAGCAAGACCCTGTCTCAAAAAAGCAAATGAGAGAGAGAGAGAGAGAGAGAGAGAGAGAGAGAGAGAGAATATAAATTGTTGAGTTTAACATTTTTATCAGCTTTTCTTACTATGAATCAATCATTCTTATGTGCTTGTTTTTGTGATACTGACAGCTAGAATTCATTTAAATTTTAATGGTTTACCCATGATATACAACCACATTTGATGGAAATTAAAGAGTGAATCAAAGTCTTTGCAGAGAGAGAGGGAGGGTGGGGTTGAAGGTAGGGCAGGGGAGTGGGAAAAAATAAGAACCAAGATTGATTATGTAAAAGTACAAGTTTCCAACAATGTCATTACACTGTATATATTAAATGTACCAATACAATTAAATTTTTAAAAAGAAGTTGAAAATTAAAAAAAACAAACAAACAAACAAACAGTAAGCTGGGCATGGTGGCAAACGCCTGTAATCCCAGCACTCCGGAGGCTCAGGCAGGAGGATCGCTGTGAGTTCGAGACCAGCCTGGGCTACATAGTGAGTTCCAGGTCAGTCTCAACTACATAGTGAGAACCTGTCTCAAAAAACCAAAAAAAAAAAAAAAAATTAAAGAAAGAGTGAATCATTTGCCATCATTTCAAGGCCTTCAGGATCCTTGCAAATGACTGAGCCAAACCACTGATGAGGAGCCAGCATATCTTTGCCAGCAGCTCCAACCAGGACCACCCAGTCTCTCTTTGGCCCTTCTCAAGATCTCTTACTTCTTTTAAAAATAATTCTCATTATTGCATAGTTATCCCATAGGTTAACCAGAAATCTATTCTGCAGAGTCTATGAAAGTTCTGAGAGGCATCTAGTTGCTTACAAGAAGACTGGACTTACGGGTCATCAGTATTTGCTAGAAGAAGAATACAGGACTAGAAAGATTGGATGGTTACAATAGAGAACTTTGGGCTTCATGACCTATTATAAGTGATTTTTCAAATGTTCACATGACGATGTATAATGAAAAAACTTTGTATCTACGGTTCCAGTATTGATGTAGTAGGAATTGTTGCTGATTTAAAGGAGACAGGATATAGAGTAAAGACATAGTCTATTAGGGTACGGAGTTGGGTATGGGTGGCTTAGGAGAATCCTGACTTCATAGAACACTGTGTTCTTCATAAAGGCCTTTATCCCAGGTTTAAGGACTAGGGAGGGGAAATTTATAAGATCTCTTCTGTTCAATCACATGTTTGAATTTCTTCACTGGCCCAAGGAGACAAAATGAAATTCATTTGTTTTTGGAACCACAATTTCAGAGTCAAAGTCAAAGTTTTGAAAAGCCAACAAGTTGATGATTCATTTTCTACCAAGTGTTGCAGAGTTTTAGAAGGCAGTTGGATTGTGTACCATAGAGAAAATTGTTCTGGTAACCAGTATGTGTTGGAGGAAGGCCACTATCCTGTCCCTCTGTGATGGAATGCCTGACTGGAGCAAAGTTCAAGTCTCTTCACTTTCTTTATAGATGTTGAATTTTATGAGCTACTAATCTTTTTCTTTTCTTTGTTGGTGGGAGTGCAGACTGGTGCAACCACTATGGAAATCAATATGGAGATACCTCAAAGAACTAGGTTTAGAGATTCCATTTGACCCAGCCATCCCTCTGCTGGGTATCTTTCCAAAAGAATTAAAAGAATCATATCACAGTGATATGTGTGCACTTATGTTTATAGTGGCACAGTTTGTAATAGCGAAAACTTGGAAACAGCCCATTTGCCCATCAGTTGGAGACTGGATAAAGAAGATGTGGTTTTTCTATAAAATGGAATACTACTCAGCCATAAAGAATGATAAATTAGATTCATTCATAGGAAAATAGATACATATTGAGGATATACTCCTCAGGGAAATAAATGAGTCACACATGTATAAATACTGAATAGTTTCTCTGGTGTGAAAAACTATAATGGTACATAAGATCCTAATGATATAAATGACCGTGTGAAATAGAAAGAAAAGGGATAAATGTGTAGGGGAAATGGGAAGGGTAGGGGAAACGGAAAAAGGGAAAAGAAAAAAATGGGAAAATGAAAAAATGGAAATAAAGTATTTGTAACTAGGGAAGGGAGGAGAGGGTGAAGGGAGGGCAGGGGTAAGGGGAAAAAATGAGAACCAAGAAACTGTCATGTAAAGGCACAAGATCCCAATGATGAATGTAACTGTACTGTATACCTAAGATGTACCAATAAACTCAATGAGAAGACAAAAAATTGAATTTAATGCAGGAATAATCTCCAGTCTTTGGGATCCAACACACAAATACTCTCTGCTCTGGTTATGGATGGCATCTGGGTTACTTGTGAATGTGGCGACAGAGCAAAGAGGTGACACGAGCTGGGGTCTGTCCTCTGTTCTGAGTCCTCTCTTCTGGTCTGCAGCAGCACAAACGGAGACATGCATCCAGTTTCATACCATACTGGCTAGAAGTGATGAAACAGATACAAACAAATGATGGATGGCAGGTGTTAAGGAAGTGCTTTTAAATCCAGATCCATTGGCCTATAAAAAAGAAAATCAGAGGGAGGGAGAAAGGTGGAGAGAGGAAAGTGGATTTTTTAAAAAATTAAGACATGGTGTGAATATGTATCAACTCCCCTTGCTGAATGTAATCATTATTTACTATAAACATGTACTGATAAAGACTTCTAAAAATGAAATTAAAAAATGAAAATCAGTTGAGGCTTAACAAAGAGCATTGCATTTAGACTTCTAGAAAGAGGAAAGGAATTAGCCAGCCTTTCAGATTGACAGTTATAACCTATGTGAAAACATAATTAAAGCATATTCTTCAGAATGTGATGGTCACAGGAGTGACATGGGTTGAAAAATGTGAATGAGCTCAATAATAAGGAAAAAATGAACTTGAAAAGAAATGCAGACCATGAGTAACAAGACAAGATGAAGCATATCATAAAGACTGGCCTCAGTGGTGATGATACCCATGAAGCTCACTTGATGAGGTACTGTGCAACCATGGAAAACTGTAGCAAGGAGAAGATTTAGCAACCTAACTGCAGTGCTGCTTTGCTTGAATGACTCATAGTTGGGACACTGTTGATTGGTAGGACAAAAGTCACTCAAGGTTGTTAAACATGCAGGAGCAATATGTGCAGGGGCCTCCAATATGATGTTGATGAGAGTAAAGTTGATAAAACTTTTAAGATATAAACAGATAGACCATAAAGTTTTTTGTTCTGCTTTAGTGTTGATACTAGAGATTGAACCCAGGACCCTGCATATAGAAAACATACACTCAGCCGGGCATGGTGGCGCACGCCTGTAATCCCAGCACTTGGGAGGCTGAGGCAGGAGGATCACGGCGAGTTCAGTATCAGCCTGGTCTACATAGTGAATTCCAGGTCAGTCTGAACTACATAGTGAGACCCTGTCTCAAAACAAAACAAAACAGAAAACACACACTCTACCACTCAGCTAAGCCCCAGCCCCAAAATAAAACTGAAAGACTCCATAATTTATATGATTGGATTAAACATCAAATATAATAAAAACATACTAGGGAGTCCCTTGCTGCTTTTGCTACCATGTAGGTGTCATGAACTGTTTCTCCTCTGCCACACTTATCTGCCATATGCCTTTGTTCCTTGGAGCCAGCAGATTATGGACTGAAACTTCTACAAAATAATTAGCCCGGTTCAGTAAAATTTTGCATGAAAATTCACTTTTACAACTGGAGGAGGAGGTTGAAAGTGACTCATCAGGTGACTCGGCTACCAATGATGACTTGGATCATGTAAGCCAAAGAAGTTAGCAACATATGACAGATAGGAAAGTATAGGAAGAAGACCTTGATTAAGGTGAGGAAGAAAACAGTAATGTAAATAAATATTTGACTAGTCAAAATGCTACAAAATGGTCATGTATACCTGAACAATCCAGTGCTATAACTAGGTCAAA